GCCATGGATTTTCAGTCCACGTTATATTAACTTTTTTCAAGCACTCTGTGGACACGTTTAAAAGGCTCCAATACAATGAAATAATTTTAGGCCTTTTGCTTTTTTTCTGTAAAAATGTCAAAAACGCCTCCTCGGTCAATTGTTGACAAAATTTGACAATTAATTACTGGCGATCTACTTGGGTTACACCGATATTTGTTATGTCCACGGAGAGCCCAAAACACGCTTTTTTATATTTATTATAAAATTCCCTGGCTGTATAAACTATCCTTTGCGGTACGTTTACGTTAATATTATGCAAAAACCAAAAAGTACCATTATTGAAATTGATTTTCTCAAAAAAACCATTTTTTATTTTTTTTATTTTTTGTTCAAATGTAGATATGATAGTTGTCTACACGAAAATCAAGCCTAGAAAGTGTATATTTTGTTTGTATGTTCTACATTTACTGATCAATATCGTACAAAAACGTGTTTTTACGGCTCGAAATGGACTTGCGAATTGCGCGTCTTCACAAGCTTGGAAATAGTTTTTTCTTTTTTTCAACGTTCCCACATAAAAATGAAATACAGTATTTCCACCCTAATATATTTATTGATTATTTAAATTTTATTATAGGCGGCAAGCTACATCGGAGGAGTTCCAAAAAGAGAAAGCAACACTTCTCAACAGACCAGCAGGTGTCGTAAATTTTTAACGTGTAGGAGTCGGCAGACGTCTTATTGAATCGGGGCCCTCATTGGCCTGCATGAACGTCCCGCCCTTTCGGAGCCAGCAGATGACCACGACCTTTCGCGCTCGTTGTGTTAGATGGGACGGCCCGTGAGAGTAAAGCGAGCAGCGCACCCTGTGTCACGAGGAGTGAAATTGTACGATTGTGTCGTTGACGCGGCGAACAGTCACAGCCACCCAGGAGGAGTCTGTCAGAGTATTGCACAAGGGAAAGCAAAGGAATCGTTGCCTTAAAGGATGAGGACACCACGGCCTTACAATGTCGACGGTCAACAACTGTTCTGCCAGCCAAAACAACGCCGCGTGCGCGCTAAAACCGGCGGCGCGGGACAGAAATCCCGCAGACGCACACACGAAGATGGGCCGGTTTCGTTAAGGATGTGGGGAAATTTGAAACCAGCCATCCGTGCATGCGTGAAACGATGCCGCCTGTTTGCCCTAGCTTCGAGCGCCCTATCCTTACCTTGAAACGACCGTGCTTTCTCTCTCTCTCTCCGGGGAGATCCGATAGCACCGAAGGGTTATCTATTAAACTTGAGGAAGAAAACGAGAAGGAAGTGTTTAAGTTTAATTATCCCCACCAACCCGCTCGTTCTGTCCTTATAAAGGGTTATTTCTTTTGGAAACAGCAAAGCCCGGAGACTGACAATGAAACGAGCGTGTGTGTAAATATACTTGTGTTTGTATTGTGCCCGGAGACTAGTTGGGTCGAAGTCAGCCTCCTTGTCAACTATAACCGTTTGTGAAGAGTGGGCTTCTCCCGAGATGAAACGTTAGCGCCGGCTGACCTGCTCTTTTGAAAAAGGGAAGGGGAAAGAGAAAGTTTGAGTAACTGCAGAAACTACCTCGAAAGCGTCTCTCCCGATATGAAGCTTGAAGCACAGTCTCGGTTACCTTCTCGCGCATCGCCTGCTCGAATCTATTCTTCACTTTCTTTCGTACAGCCACTGTTCCGCACAGCCGTCGTGGATGTGCTTAATAGAGGGAGGAACAGATTCGAGCATCATCTGGACGCCGTCATCCTGCCATACTTCAATGTCGTGGGGCCGACTCGTGTGTGTTTCTTCGCCCCGCTGAACTTTGTTTCTCGGGTGCGGTTTTTCCTGAACGTTTTTTTTTTTTTTTTTACAATGTTTTCTTGCTAACTGTTTGTTAGCACTGTTCAGTTGTTGGGTTTATTTCGTCATGGCGTAGCGGCCTGGCGGTGATGTAGAGAGCGTGTTCGCACGCATTTAGTTGCGTCCCGTTTAGGGAGTGCCCGGGGGAGTTGGTTTTTGTTCTTGCCATGTGCGGCTGAGTTTTCCTGTCTTTATTAAATTATTGATTTTTTTTTGTTTTACCTTTACGTGCCGTCGACTTCTTTGTCTGACTCTCCACCAGGCGTGGACCTATCGCCTTGCCACCGCTCGAACCTAAATACTTTATTTATTTTTTTAACGCAATTTTCGTTAAGATCGGAGTTGGGCAATTTAATTCCTATTTATTTATTTTTATTTCCTACCCCTCTCCATGACACACTCTCTGTGTGTTTCGGACCGTTCCTGTGTCACCACTTTCGTGTATTACGGAAGTGAAAGGACATTCCCTGGTGACCTGTGCGATGTGCGGTGAACAAGCCCCAGCGTTTGTTTTCGTAAAGAATTGTATATAATATATCGACAATGTGGTGACTTTCTTTGTCTTAGTAAAATGACAGCTAATAGCTAGTCGTGCTAGTTTACTTTCAAAGGTTTATAAATCGAAACAATACAACGTCTGTGCCTTTTGGTTATTGAAAGTCTACTAGGCCTGCTGATTTGGTTAGATATGTATCACATGGTTCCCGCTCTTATCAAAGCATACATAAATATTCAATACCACAAAATCCGTTTATAATTGATTACAAAATGCAGAAGAAAATTCAAGAAAACTTTTTCACAATTCATAGAGACGCATAGGTCGCTATGTCTAACTTAGGTCTTGCAAAACAAAGACGTCTTTTTCCGATATTGAGGCCTAAATATAAAACATGCAAACAAAATATACACTTTCTAGGCTTGATTTTCGTGTAGACAACTATCATATCTACATTTGAACAAAAAATAAAAAAAATAAAAAATGGGTTTTTTGAGAAAATCAATTTCAAATATGGTACTTTTTGGTGTTTGCATAATATTAACGTAAACGTACCGCAAATGATATTTTATACAGCCAAGGCATTTTAAAATAAATATAAAGAGCATGTTTTGGGCTCTCCGTGGACATAAAATATATCGGTGTAACCCAAGTAGATCGCCAGTAATTAATTGTCAAAGTTCGTCAACAATTGACCGAGGAGGCGTTTTTGACATTTTTACAGAAAAAAAGCAAAAGGCCTAAAATTATTTCATGGTATTGGAGCCTTTTAAACGTGTCCACAGAGTGCTTGAACAAAGTTAATATAATGTGGACTGAAAATCCATGGCGGGAGATCAAGCGAAACATCCGACCCACGACGGGTGTGAAAAACACTGCTTTTCGCCGCGGCCTCTTTAAAAATTCATAAGTCGAGAACAAAAAATCCGACGAACTTGCGGTTTGTGTCGACTGCGGTTTGAGAAACGGCGCCATAACATATATTTTTTTCATCGAAATTAAAAATTCGACCCTTTTTGCCTGCACGATTTGAGATGAAACCACCCATATATATAAGAAGGGAGGTGATTATTGAATTTATTGCATTACAGTTAGGGAAAGGTTAGGGGCATATATATCTGTCTATATATATGCCCGTTCCTTTATATATATATTATATAATATATACATATTTTATGTATATATTGTATATATAATTTTGTATACGTAAATATGTACAAATTTGACGGGTTTTTAAGTTTCGGCTTGCTATCGGAGCGCATCTGGGCCCTGGCGGCACCGCGCCCTGTGGAATGATAGTGAAACCAGCCTCTGCTGCGTCGCGCGACGACAGCGCAGCAGAGGTTGGTTGCACTATCTCTCCACGGGGCGCGGTACCGCCTGGGCCCAGATGCGCTCCAATAACAAACCGAAACTTAAAAACCCGTCAAATTTGTGCGGTTTTTCACAAAGCCGTAAAATGTTTCGCGTGCATTCTAACTTTCTGCAATTTGTTGATTTTGTGTTTTTCGACGATGCTGAGCCATTTTATAATTGAAACCATGGCATGAAACACATTATTAAAAAGTTAATTACGCAAAAAAATAATAACTTAATCATGTCGGACTTTAATAATTTTTCTAAATGAGCCCCTGGCCCAGGACCAAAGCTTTTTTTCGTTGCCGTGATTAGTTTTCGCAGGAGTGATTTGGCCTGAGTTTTCTGAAACACCCTGTATATATATATATATATGTATAAGATATCGCCTAATAAGTTATATATATATATAACTTATTAGACGATATCTTATATCTTATTATCGTATCGAATGTTAATATCTTATTCTATATATATGAGGAAGTAACAAATGATGTTTTGCTTTGTCACATATTAGGCCTTTATCATGCTTGCTGCCCGCCTGTCTCTCGGTTGAACATTGCCCCTGAATAAATAAAGAAATTAAGGCCGTGATGTTTGAATGTTTGCACAAGTGAAAGGTGAAACCCCACCTGCCGTACCTATTAAGTACAGTTCATTCTGCCTTCTTCTAAAAGGATAGTTTTATATAATTTATTCTGTTTGTTTCTTTTCTGAGTGCATATTAAACTACTGGCGTTACTACTGCCTTGTTTACTGTTAATTTCGCTTTGTAAACTAATATTTTCATCATAAAAAGTGGTTGTTGTGCTCAAGGTATTTGTGGATTATGTCAGGATCGCACGTGGGGTTGGAATTAGTGAAAATCAGAGGCGTTGGGTTCGGGAGAAGGTGAACGGGAAGGGTGGTGACGGTGGAGGTGTGGGGAGAAGAGCGATAGTTTTATTTTATCCCTCTATATTGTTTATACGTTTTTTTTTCTCAAATGAAGTGATTTGTTCCCCCCCCCCCCCCCTTTCTCGCCCCGCCCTCCGAAGTCACTCACAGTTCGCAAGGAAACGTTAAGAATTGAATACGTAAAAAGTATATTCCGTTATGTTTGTTACCTTTTGGTTATCTTAATTGATTACCTCGTGCTGTGTTTCTCTCGTTAGTGACGTAATTATGTAGCATAATACTTGTTGTTCTGCTATAGATCAGGGTGCAGACCAAGTGCACCCCATAAAGGAGTTTTGTGTTCCTTTTATTACCGCAGTTTATATAATTGGTACAATCATATTGTTGATTTTTTTTGCAGCTAAAATAATGTTGGACAGCATGAACCAGACCGTGGATCCTTGTACTAACTTCTATGAATACGCCTGTGGAAACTGGAAAAAAACACACAAAATACCTGACCACTGGACCAAATTCGGATATCGGCATATTCTTCATACTAAACTTCAGATGGGCCTAAAAAGTATGTTTTGATCAAGGCTGTCAACTGAAAACATTTATCTTGTCTTAAAAAATGACTGTACCGCTTGAGTAGCGGCATAGAAAAAGCGAAATATTGTGCCAAAACTTTGCTGCGGCCGGTGCCAATTTTATACAACACATAAAAACATTACGTAAAAAATAGAAAAAATGAAGACTTATTGGTGCGTCTTCCAATATGCTGGCTACGCCATCTGGTGAACCTGTTGGCAAATATATGCCATCAATCGTGATTTGTGGCACGGGAAAAAATTTGAAAACGTGATTAGACTACTAAATAATTTAGTGTGGTTACAGCTTAATTTGAAGGAAGTTACATTCTTCTTTACAACATACAGGGTTGACATTGAAATAATCTTGAATATTTTTCTTATATCTAGATATTTTATTGAACGCTACACTTAAGGAAGAAGAGCCGCAGAACGCTACTAATAAGGCTATCCTGGCCTACAGAGTCTGCCTTTGTGAGAGTACGTAAGTTTCTTGTTCAAGGTAAAATAACTAAATGGCGAAGCCAGAGTATCGCATTCCCTTTTTTTCAATGCCGAGTCCTCATCGGCGGCGAAGTGGCAAGATTCACGAAATGATCCAAAGCGCCTGCGGGGTGGACAAGCCTGCGCTGTTGAGAGAAAGGGTTACCTGCTTCCTGGACGTTGGGAATGCAAGCCCATGTCTGAAATTTCAACATTAGCCTGAATCAACCGCACTTTTTTGTTCGTACGACACCAGAAACTGTTACTGAACGAAACCAAATTAGTGGGAAGGTAAACTCAGATACCCCCCCCCCCCCCCCCCCCTCCAATTTGAAGAAAGATAAACCCCTTAACAGGGATGCCCAAATATAAATAGCCCATAGACTTTGCAGTTTTATTATAAAAACCACCAATTAATATCTGTCGGTGTCAAGACTACATTCCCTGTAAAAACGGAAAAAGCACCTCTGAACAACCGTTTGTGTCATAAACGCAAAATCTATAGAAACTAAGAAACATCAATTTCTAGACATCATTTGTATTAGCTCAGACTGTTTTTGTCAATAACCTTCCGATCAAGAATAAAACTTCATATTCAATTAGTTCTTCACCGAGAATCACCGCTTTTTTGTGTCCTTTGGGAAGATTTTGTCAATATACATACATAGTTGAAAATAATACACACCGAAAATCATCCACAATTTTGTCTTTTAAATATACGCCGGAAAGACTACGACTTGGCTATACACATCTGATGAAAATAAACCGCATTCTTTCCTTTTCCGAATTCGTTTAGCGCTTTATTCTGTACGGCGACACAAGAGTCTAATGTGTTTTTTTTATGCTGTTTCCACTTCGCGCTACATTGTGACGGTGAGAATTTACAGATCTGCAAGAGTCTGCTTTCCCACCCGAGTTCACGTCAGTGCGCCTTAATCCATAGACCTCTACGTTATGCGTGACATCGGCAGCAATAAAAACCCAAAAGCATTTCAAGCAACCCTAAATCCCTCAATATACACTTTGCGCGTTTTTCCTGCTGTCATTCACAAAGGGTGGTTCTTTGAACGGTGGTTGCATTAATTTCTTTATGAATATATGATTACCAAACTTATCGTACAATATCTTAACACTTTCACAAATAAGGATTCCGCACTTCAAAACCTCCCACATAATATTTTGTGCCCACACTGAATTTAGCAAAATGGTTTAACTGCCGTAAATTTAAATGATTCGTTAGTAACATACACATGCTTTGTGGGTCAATTCCAAACAAGTAAATTGTCCACACCGATGGATTGATCTAAAACGTGCCCTTTCAAAACATGCACAAATGAGATTTTATATTTTGTACTCGCCCATAAAGCAACGAATTCACGTTCTCATGGACGTAAGGGAAAATCTCATATTGGTGCCGTTATGTGTTTTGTTTTTGAAATGTATATATAAAACTAGGCTTTTTTGTGTTTTGTTTGGTGTTTAGGGTTTTAATAGAAGGTTTAGACTGGACAAGCAGTTCGGAAAATAAAAATCAGAGTGGGTTAAATCGTGATTTAAAGTCAGACAAGTTGTACGACGACAATTTAAATCAAGCTTTCCCTGCAGAAATAATCCTGCAAATATGTGTGATTTACCGTTCATCTATCATGTGATGTTTTCTGTGTGCACTGTTTTGTACTGAAATCACAGTATCGATCAAGCAAGAACGATTCATATCATGCTGAACACGAGCAGAAAGCAGTTCTCGTCTGAGCAACTTGGAGCACTGAGCTTTCTTCCGATCTTCCACTATTCTTCTGTTGCGTAGTGTCGTATTGAAAGAAAATCAAAACACGAAAGAAAGAAGAAAGGAAACGAAAACAGGGAAGTTATGTTCGATCGCAAGCGAGCGAGAATTCGAAAAAAGTGCATCTAGAGGGTTTTTGCTGCCGCAAAAAGACAAATCGTTTAGTGTTCTAGTATGGCGCAGTTTACATCAATAAAGAGTTATTAATTAACCTGTACTTTAAATTTACAGTAATTACTTGTTCTGCATTGTTATTAGTCTGACTAATTAATCAATCAGTGTTCCATGTTTAAATATATATCGTTAGTGACAAAATCACTATTCTTAGCTACTCTCACTGAAATCAAATTAATCTGCTTTTAATACAATAAATGTCCAGTTTTTATCTTTTTTTACTTTGCTAAGAAGCGACAGAAATGTAAGCGCAAACTGTAAACATGCTGAAGCTGGTAGAACCCGGTGGAAACAGACATTTTACCATTGAAAGAATACACACACATTGCTTTATTATTAATCATATCTAGCGAGGTTATTCATCCTAAGGACACTGATGGTCGTCATAAAAGACAGGCGTCAACTAAAAAAATTTAGTGGAAGCTGATATGCCTACCTTTCGTCTATCAACCATACTTCAGTTAATTTTGATATACTTTAATTTAAAGCTCGATGGAACAGTCTTCCATGTCAATTTTTTTAATATTTGTAAATAACGTATATAGGCCTTAATGTTAAACTGAAGCAGAAGCTATACGGTAGACAGCTCCTTAACCGATTTGGTCAAGAATGTATATTCTAATTAAGCAACTTTATATTTTTACAAATTATATCCACGCCCTCTCCCTGAAAGTAAAAATACACATGCAAGATGGTAAACAAGCTCCAAATAATGGGCCCCATTATGGGAATACTTGACTGGGTTGTGTTGTTTGTTTCTTTCTTTTTTTCGCAGAACTGCGGCTTTTTTTGCGCGCTTGGAAGGGGGTGCAAATTAGGGAAGTCGATCTCACGAAACCTTGGTCAGGGAAGTGATATCCCGCACGTAAAATAAATTTTGAAGGGGGTGCAGGGTTTAGAAGACGATGAGACGAAAACCTGGTCAAGGAATGTCACGAAAACTTGGTCACAGAAGTGACGACATGAGTGTCAAAATAAATTTGAAGTTATTTTGAACGCGAAAGTGAAAAAACAAAAAGATCGATCGTGCGGTCTCTCATGCGTGACGACGCACTCCTCGCACCATGGTACACCAATGATTCGGCGAACATGCTATCGCGTGCGCCACGGGGGCGCCGACAACTCTTTTTATCCTCGTGTGCTTTTCCCCCCAAAAAATAACATGTGTTTTAAATGGCCCAATAGCACGCCCATATTTTGTCCGTCGACTTACTTCGCACGCCATTCTGAAAATACGAATCGGAGACGACGCCGCGGGGTGCTGTAAGATTGCTTCAACGAGACGCCGAGCCACGGGCATTCACATCTTGCCAAAGTTGCGTCTGGCGCACCCACCATAGTCATGCGGCAGGAGTCCCTGGACGTATCTCCAGCTGCCACAAAAGCACATATGGAATGAGTGGACAAAGGACGGCTTTCTTACATTCACCCCAACCCCTCTCATTTTTCCTGCCACCCCCCCCCCCCCGTAGTTCTAGAGAAATTATTGCAGCATAGTACGCCTATGCACCGACCAAATGTTTCAATTTGTTGCAGTTTCGGGTTTCCGAATATGGGCATTCTCTCTGGGTGCTGCCAAACGAGCAGTAATGCGATATAAGCTGAGATCATTTGCTTCTTTTCCCGCATTGGTAAATCTCGGCGATGTAGGGCTATCATAGCACGGTGCTATCGGAGTACCTCAGTGCCAGAAAACCAATTTAGGTTTTGTCTCTATATTTATCGGGAAAACGTCCCCGCTACACAAAGCTTGTAAATTGAATTGGTGTATAATTACACACCATTTTAGGTTTTCCGGCTAGTCTTTGATATATCTAGACGCGACGGTGAACGGCCGTACACGATCTCGCGGTTTTGAGACCGTAGAAATGATCTTGCATTTAAACGAAGCATTGTCAACATTTTACATGTACCTTATCACATTTGATTGTTTTGTATGTCAAACAGCTCTCAACGAAACAGCAAAATTTAATGACCTGCTGCAGCTACTTAAGGAAGATGGCTTTACCAAGTGGCCACTACTGAATAAAGGAGAATCACCTTATGAAAACTACACTCAACTACTCAACCAATCAACGTTTCTTCCATTTGTTAGTTTCTATGTATCCCAGGACTATAAGAATCCTCATTCAAACGCGATTTACGTAAGTATCAAACAGCCTCTTTCAAAACCCTTTTTATTCCTCACAATTTCTTAGCACGCGGGCAGTGTTGCCCGATATTAATGCAGCCGCGCGGCCCCTCAGTTACTAACGACGGGAGCAAAACAGACGGTTTCTAACAGTACCCATTCACTTGGCAGAGCGTCCCCAACCTCCGGGCCGGGATCTGTGAGATAGTCAGTCCTCTCTGGTGGCTAACAGATTGCAAAGGCAGTTTTTTCGCTCTCTTCAACATTTTCTTACAACGAACTGCATACCATCGCATCATTTCATTGATAGTTTTTTTACTCGTTAAAGTATTTCACAAGCACCTTGCGAATTGCGCATGTCTGACTGTAGAAATAAATGCAGCTATTAGTTTTGTTAGCAGAAGTGACATATGCGTCATTTTCCAGGTCCGGCCTACTCAAAAAAGTATTAAAGTACATGATTCTTCGCAAAGAAGTCTGTTACACTGTTAAGAAATCCGGAGGGCCTCCGGATTTCTGAAAAGTGTGCAAAAGTGACATTTGCTGCAATCCAAACTGTTTACGAAAGCGCAGCGCAACAAGAAAAAGGCACAACTCACCGAAAGAACGTTTCGCCGGTCTCGCGGCGTGATCCAAGCTTTTTTACTTACCTACTTTACTATGACGAATGTATTAGTAACTCGCGGCACGCGCGGTCCAGAAAGGAGCTTGATCCAGTGGCGGCGGAAGAGGGGAAATGGGTGCGGTGGGTGGTGACAGCGTCAGAGTGCACACGAGCATATGGGCAGTCTTGGGTAGTAACGCGTTACTACTAACACGTTACTGTAACTTCGTTACTTTTTCGGTAACTTGTAACTGTAACGAGTTACTTTTTAAGAATGTAGCTTGTAACTGTAGTTCTATTACTTTTTCTGAGGTAACGATAAAAGTAACAACGTTACTTTTGTCGTTACTTTTCAGTTCTTTACGAATAATATATCATTGAACGGGTATAATCTAGCTATTCCTTGCACTTTCCAGATCGTCTGTTCCGACATTTCGAGTGTCAGTTGGCCTTGCACAAACTTGGGAATACGTTCTTCCTCGCGAGTCACGACCCGAATATAGCCACGTGTAGATTTGATTGAAGAAAAGAAGAAAAGAAGAATCTAATTATCTTTACGCACGTGCTTGTACTTAATGACTGAGCACTTACATCTTAGTATCTTAAAGCACTATCTCTATTGCGGTTTTTTTTTTCTGCGCACGCTTTTAATTGGGTGAATCAGCCGTGAAACAACTATACACGCGGAGGGCACTGCGTATGTTTCGTATTTTGATTTGCGCCCCTACGCCGGCGTGGAGTCAACATGGAGGCAAAATTTACTGTTGTTGGCGCGGAGTTTGTTTTGGCTTGCCGTGTACGTACTGTCGTGAGCAAAAGTCTGGATAACACGGGAGCGCCGACCGAATTGCATCGCCGCGCTCCCTGATGGCGTGGCGCCTGGTGCCGAGACCCGCGCAATGCGCACGCGCGTCCTTTCTTATCTGCGGGCCCACTCGTTTGCTCGCTTCAACGCGATGCGCTTCTGTGTGATTAAATGGGCGCTAGGTGCCGCCCCAGGAACCAAGATTCCGAAAGCCTCGCTCACCGCTCTGGACGAGCTCGGGTGCTCCGCGGCACGCGCCGTTCGCGCATATCTTTCCCGCGACTCGGCGGCGCGTTAAAAACTGTCCGTTGATGCAGCCGCAATGAATTGTAGAACTTGTATTCGCGTACTCGAGGCAGCCTTGGGCTTCCTTTCGAGTTATCATGCACGCGTGGTAAAGTGGTGAATGACGAGCAAAGGAAAACGCCAAATAAGAAAGAAATCTTTATTGAACCCCCCTGCCAAGAAAACACAAGAAACAAAACGGAAGGAAAAAGAGGCGCTGGTTGAGTTTGGGTGGCTTGTAATTTTTATATTGTTGATAGCGTCAGAAACAAGCGAAAAAGCATCACTTTCCTGCAAAATTTTGCAATTCTGTTGTGTAATCGCAAAGCAGGAATGGAAATATTTCCCCCTCTGCAGCCGTGCGCGGCGGCCACAGGAAACGCGCCGTGACGGCGACGCGGGGATCGCTGCAGCTCAACGCCTCACGAAAAGCAGTAGCGAGAGAAAGAGTAAACATCCTTGGGGGAGAGCGCACGGAAACCGGTGCATCCTTACGTCGGCGTCACTGAGCACGCCACTGAGCACGTTATTTAGAGAATTGAGGGGTGCCGGAAACTTGAATCTTTGCTATTGTTTAAAATTATAATTTGGGGCACACAGACTAAATTGCTTTTCTGTTCTTTACTTTAGAAGTGTCGGAGAACAACTCCGATAATTATTTGGCCATTGTCCGGAAATCGTTGCATAGCCGCTTTATTTTATGGCTTCCGGTACAAGTCATCACAGCTGATGTCCAACTGAACATTATAAGGTCACTTCGCGAACAACTATGCTGAGAATTTGTGGCCAGTACCATGTATTTTTTCTCGTTGTTTTATTGACTTCTTGACCCTTTACAACGCGTGCATAATAAATTGAGCAGCAGCTGTTTGCATTGTAGCCGGGGAAAATTTAGGATGAGAAGCTTAAAAATAACGAATGGAGGGAAGCGACAGTTTTTAACACGTCGCCGAGTCGCGGGAAAGATATCCGCGAACGGCGCGTGGCGCGGAGCACGCGAGCTCGTCCAGAGCCGTGAGCGAGGCTTTCGAAATGTTGGTTCCCGGGGCGGCACCTAGCGCCCATTTAATCGCTCAAGAGCGCATCGCGTTGAAGCGAGCGAACGAGTGGGCCAGCAGATAAGAAAGGACGCGCGTGCGCATTGCGCGGGTCTCGGCACCAGGCGCCGCGCCGTCAGGGAGCGCGGCGATGCAATTCGGTCGGCGCTCCCGTGTTATCCAGACTTTTGCTCACGACAGTACTGAAATAGGTCCAAGGACTTCATGAACCAAGCGCAATCATCAACGAGCAAGCAATGTGCTAGTGCTACCACGGATAGGAATATTGATGAGAACAAAGATCAAGCATGAACGGGGTACAGACAGTAGTTTGCTGTGGTGAAGGGGGTTGCTAACAATTTTACTGCTGTATGCAAACTTTGCAACAAGGAGCACTCCGACAACAAGTCTTTGTGTTCAAATCTGAAAAAACACATTTAATTGATTTTGGACTTTATTATTTTTATAATATTGACTAATTTTCCAGCTATACTATAAAGTTCGAATTTACCGCTATGGTTGAAGCCTGACTGATTCGTGTCCAAATTTTTTTCTTTCAGACACTAGTTTTTCCTAACTTTTTGTGTTATCAAAAAGTAACTGAAACGTAACGTCGTTACTTTTTGAAACTAACTGTAACGAGGTACTCTTTCGTTGTGGTACCTGTAACGGTAACTTCGCTACTTTTTTCTGAAGGTAACTGTAACTGTAACGAATTACTTTTTAAAAGTAACTTACCCAAGACTGCATATGGGCCACGTTTCAAGTACTTTTCTATCTCGCAGTTTCTTACTTTTGTGTTCGAAAACGTACCTTGCGCCGAAGCGTTGCTGTATTTGTTCTGCCATGTGATTGATTCAAATGAATTTGGAGCACAGCCATGGTTAATAGTGAATAATAGCAATCACGGATTTTTTCCCCTTTATTGATAGGAATTTTCACAGGAAGAGCTGGACGGTCCAGAATTCCGTGGCCGTTATATGCTGCAAAGACATTTACGCTCGACAGACCTTCAAACTTTGCCGTTGCGTCAATTATTATCAGGCACAGAGACGCAGCACTTCGGCGTGCCAACGAAGCTTTGATCACTCCGCGAGAGCTGTGAAACTTGCTTTCGACGACTTGTGCCTTTTAGGGGCGAAGCTATTTAGGGGCTAGCCATGTCCGTATGTCCGTCCGCCGTCGGGTCACGAGCTCGTGAGCACGTGCCCCGTGCTCGTGCAGGGCAAAAAAAAAAAAAAAAAAAAAAAAGAACCGCATCTTCACGTGGTGAATGATGTTGATTGGGAGAAGCTCTGGTGGTGCTTGTCTACGAAGACGGTGAGCCGCAGCATGCAGAGCCTTTCGTTCGTTTTCATCAATGTCAGAAAGAGAATGTGTGGTATGGAACGTGGTTATATGCGCATTTCAGCATTTGACCGCAGCGTGACATGGATGAAAACGAACAAAACGCTCGGCATGCTGCGCCTCAGCGTCTACGTAGACAAGCACCACCAGAGCTTCGCCCCAATCAACATTATTCACCACGTGGAGATGCGGTTGTTTTTTCTTTCTTGCGGTGCAGTGCTTCCGTAAAAGCCTCCACGTGTTCTGAAAGGCCGTTCTCACACTTCACAGAAATGTTTTAAAAACTTCGTCGGCGAATGACTTCAGACAAGCAGAAACCACGCATTCAGCTTGCTGCCGCCAGCCTGTGCAACTCTCCAGAAATGCGTTTTTTTTTTGCATGCAAGATGGCCGTCCGGTGACCGCAGTCGCGGAGGGGGGAAGCGCGGTAACGAAATTCTTATAAAAAAATCAGGGGTCGCGCGAAGCAGGTAGTAGCTGGGCCATCATTGGCAACGAACGTAAAGCGAATGGCAGTACTTCGCATTAAAACGCACAATTTATGCCAAAAATGTAAATTAAGTATTCAAAATAAAATCAAAAATAAGTAAAACCGGCGCATATGTTCTTGTGCTACCTATATAGTACTATTAATGTATTAATGTCGATGAAATCATTACCGCGAAAGGTACGTTCACAGCACTAGCAACGCAATGTTTGCTTTTCTTTTCTACCCAATCAAGCTGAAATAAAAAAGGATCGTTTTTTTAATCAATAATTATATAGACAGAAGAAAAGATACCGGAGAACATATATGGACCCCTGAACGACGCTACGAAGTTGTAGACACGGAGCAACGAGGTAAAGGGCTTTAGGGTGATAAACTGACATCTGTAAGTGAACCCAAATTGGCCGCCACCATGTTGCACATTTTTTACCACTTCACACGTGAAATT